GAAAGATTTTGACTAAGATGTTTTTCGTAGCGCATCGTTTGTGAAATTAAGGTCTTCTCGTAGCCTGCCGCTGCCGAGTTAGACCCGTCACCGCAGTAATCTTCTGATCTTCTTTTCTTGAGGTTGAAGTTAATATTTGGGGTTAGTGTCTAAATCTGATCTAAGTCTTAACAATTTACCACTGTCAGCCATAAAATAGTTAATTCGCGAATGCTCAGGGTGGACATCCCGTACTCGTCTGCTTTCGTTCAAGAACAACTAAACGTTCTATCTGCCAATCTATTCAATGATTACCTAGCTTCAACATATGTTCCGCGTCGGTGACCTAGCTATATTTCCGATGTGTCGCACACAAGTACATGTTTTTCGCACAAACGGCCATGGATGCTGATGCAACATGTCACTCTTCAGCTTGCGGTTTGTTCACCGCAAATTTTTGTTCGCAACTTTGTTAATTGGCTGTGACTCATTTCGCGATAGTCAATTTTTTGGACTGCGACACTAATGTCTTTACTCAAATCTGTCACCATTGGCTGTCCATATCTCTTATATTTCGCCTATTTTTCGTTAGGCTGACGCTTTTCAACAATAAAAATTCATGCAACTCAGAATTGTTCACGTCCAAATCAGTCAGCTATGTTTATTTGTTCTATGGATATCTAATGTTCTAATACTTTTTGTTTATTTCTGTCTCGAACATTTATACGTCCTACTATTTACATTCACAATAATCACAACTAATATTTCCATGTCCTATGTGGCTATTTCAATAACGCGCACGTTATCTGAGCCTCCGGAATACCTATCCCCTCTTTGCCAACGTTAGTTGAATTAGAATAAATGATAGCATAAACGTTTTTAAATAGATAAAAACATTTTTATACAATAACAACTTTATTGACGACGCTGATGGAATTTTAAACCTAAATATAACTGAATAATTCCGAATGCATTAAATGATTTGAGGACTTTCTGCGCTGTGTCGGAGGCCTAGATGCCGGCGACGTGCTCCCCGAAACGCGAACGGCGGGACAGAAGGTGCTGACGGTGCGGGCGATGGCGGAGGCGGGCAGGGTCGAAGCCGTAGACGCCGCCGCCGGGCAGCTCGATGGTGTAGGACAGGTCCACACCGCCCACGCCCTTCACCCAGTCGTCGCTGCCGCCAGCGGCCTCGTCTGGAACGGAGATGCAGCACAACAGTTCGCTGGTGGTGGTCACGAAAGTACGATTCCAAAGATAGACAGTTGATCAAGGGACCGTCGAATAGAATATAGGATGGCGTGTCGATTGGACTGACGGTAGTACTGACTATCGGGCTGGACTGTCGGGGACGGACTGTCGGGGACGGACTGTCGGGGACGGACTGTCGGGGACGGACTGTCGCCAGGGTTACTGGCGGGGGGAAAGTTGGGGACGTGAAGCGTCTTCACCTTCCTCAAGTGATTCAGCGCGTGTATAATCTTCAAGGAGAGACGGTCATTGCAGCTCTGGGGGGGGGGGCGACCTTTTCATGAAAACTATTGTTTTTGGGAACTAGCGATGCCTCACAGGGAGGGTTCCCACAGTTGCAGGTTTTGATATCTGCTTGTCGTGCACATGTTCCTGTATATGCATTATTTAAAATCTGTTTTCTGCTTCTCAAGCAGATTTCTTTATTGAAGTGCTTTGTACAAACCATTAAAATACTTTTCTCTCAAGAGATTTATGGATATTCATGATTATTACTTAATGTATGTTGACTTTATCTATAGATAGACTGACAATGATTATGCACAAAGAGAAGAAAACCACTCTTTTTGTCAAAGTTTATAAACTTCACAGTAATTTTTTTGATGAAAGTCTTTTTTTAATAAAAACTTGTGGGAAAACCCAGAAATTTTCTGAATTCTATGATTTCAAGACGTAGATTGATGTTCCCATCAGAAAATTAATAATAAGTTCAGCGGAGGGGAAGGTTGCGGTTTATGTTTTCTTTGAATTTGTTAGCAATTACAGAAAGTGAAAGTTACTCTTGCGGAATATTGTTACACACAAAGAAATTCAAATTTCCGAAAATAATACATCCGAAAATACAAGAGCAGAGGAAGTAAAGACTCATTGGAAATCAGTATGATACCGTAATGCATCTCAGAATTGTGAATTTTATCGAAGATTTTGACAATATCATTAAGCTCTTAACGGACAATATCAATAAGCACTTAACGGATTGCTGTATGTCAAATGCAGAAAGCTCAATTGCTGCCGACTACAAATATACTCAGCAATATCTTAAAGAAACGTTTTGGAACTTGCCTGAATGGCCGTCCTATACCTCTCATATGGTGTTACCAAAGTGACACAAAGTAATTTTTTAATACGCCAATAAGCACTTTACACCGTATGAGACGTTTGTGGAGAGACAGGCAAAGAAAAGCACAAAACAAAAGAGTATCTCAACGTTTGGAGTGGAGAAACTGAGGGTCTGAAAGAAAATAACTATCAAAATAGAGATCGTTCACCTAATAGCATGCTTAATTACTTGATCACTCAGACTTTACCTAATTTTCTATTGTGTCGTCGAACTAAGCTAACTAATTGCGCCGCTATAGATTATAGTTTTGCACGATAACCTACATGCACTTGCCACAACAGATGCACAGATAAAGAAAACCATAAGCAAACACTGAAATTATTACTCTGGCTTCTCTAATTACTCGATAATCCTTCATACATTGACCTGTCAGATGCAACATTTGCATAATGTAACATTCATAACAAAAGAAACATTTTCTGTGTGATGCATTGAAGCCATCTGCCGCTACATTTTTCCTTTCACATGTGAAGGGAACAAAGCTGCTCATCAATTAACAAAATTACATTTCTAACCATATGTGTTCAGAGCTTCGAGTGATGTTATGAAATATATTCGATATTCCGTAGCTTGTGAAGTTCATCAGAGGAGAATGGTATGTAACAGCGTTTCCCGACCTTCGTTGAGCTTTCCTTTGTACATTGCCTGCACCGCAACAGGTACGTGAACCACAGCATAATATTGACACTGGCATAAAAGTAACAGTGAAATCCGGTCAGAAACAAAACCGCAGTAAAATGAAGACCCGCCTGTCAACTGAGTTTTTCGCTGCAGTCTCGCCGGTTGTGTGGTTAATCTGGCTTTCAGGAACTTTACCCGGAATCCATCCCGCATCCCAAGAAGAGCGTGTGTGGAAACGCCGCTCTGCTCACACCGCAATTATGGCCTCAGTGCTTTTGGGCGTTTCTGTGATGTACTGCGTGGATTTCCTGAAGAGTTTCCCCTCGGCGGGGAACTGGGAAGCGTTCGCGCCGTTCCTGGTGCATCTGCTTGTGCAGCCGGTCCATTGCCTGGTTTGCCTCGTCGTCGCCCTGGCTGTCCACCGCCGGGAGCTGAAGCGTCTCTTGGCAGCGATTCCTTCAATCGACTGCTTACTCTTTGAGAATCCGGAAGACGACTACCGGGCAATGAAGAAATACTTGCGCAAGGTTACGTTGCGTTTCGGTCTATTGTTTGTAATCTTAGGGTTAATTCTTGCATGGTGTGCGTATGGAGAGGGGCGCCATACCATACAATTATACTGGTATTTTTTCTGCTTCTTTAACACCTCTGTGACTTTAAAATTTGTCTCCTTGGTTCTTCTTCTTCGGCAAAGATATCGGAGGTTAAATTACCTCTTAAACTGTGTTGTATCTGTGCATAAAGGACAAACTAAAGCATTTGAATGTTTAGATATTCTCAACGATTCTCCAAACACCAAAGAAAAGAAGCATACGTTTATCAGTTGTGATGCAGTTAAAAATGTCGAATTATTTGGAAGAGCCTACCCTAAAAATAACATTACCCAAATAAATCCAAACGTAAGAATTCAGACTCTGCAAGAAATACATTATTGCTTGTATGAAATGAGTAGAATAATCGATAGAGCATTTGCGATTCAGAATCTCAGTGATGTAGGTTCCTCATTTTGGTTCATGCTGCTCAATGCCTATGGGTTATCTGGCACAAAATCATTTGCAAAATTTAGGTTTACTCGCAGTTCTTCTATTTTAACAGTAGCTGCTGCAGGAGTAGACTTTTCCATTTCTGTTGTATACAATTTTCTTCGTGTATTGTGTGTTTGTTGGGCATGCTCCAGCATTCATGCCGAAGCGCTGGAATCATCGAGCTTGCTCACCCGCCTACTGTTGAATTCGCACCTTCCGGAAGACACCAAACACCAGGCGCAGACGTTCCAGCATCAAATCGCCAGAACGGAGGTGCTGTTCAGCGCCGGGAAAGTGCTACGTATCCATCTGCCTCTGGCTTTCACTATCCTCTCCTCGCTTGTGACCTATGTTGTTGTGTTGAGTCAGTTCGGAAACTTAGCCCAGTCTGATTAATTGACGGCGGTGACGTCACGCCGCGGCGGCGGGACAGGGTTAGGGTTGCGCGCTCTGCGACTGCGCTCCACTCCACGCCGCCAGGACCTTCTCCACCCACTCCCAGGGACCTTAGACATCTTCAGTAGTGAGTCTTGGAAATAATCATAAGGCGGTTCTGATGGATAGACTGCAACGAAGTCGAGAAACTAAAAATAAAATTAAAAAGCGCTCTGCACGGAAATGTGTACTCCTAAGGCGAAGACAGTACAGCAATAATTTGGAGGGTTCGCGTACAAAACATGGTAACGCAAATGGAGACTTTGCGAGATAAAAGCAAATGAACATTTTTGCAGGAAGGTGTTTAAGTGGGGTACATGAAGATTGTAACAGCCACACAATAACAATCTGCCATAAATTGGACTAATTGAGAATCACGAATTTGAGGGAACGCAACTCCCGAACCCTTCATTTATTGTTAAAACTATAGCGAACATGCTGATATGGAGTTTTCCAGTTGTGCGGAGAGTTCGAAATGTGCGGTGTTGTGTATGCCGAGAGTAGCACCAAAGTATTGAAAGCCAATATTAAATTTCCTTGAAGTACTCCACAACGCCTTCAACTCCCGAATGCTGCCTGGAGGGGCTCTGGGCTGGGAGGACATTAAGCGTCGGCGGTGGCGCTTCTCTGTGTCTGGGGACTCTAAGAGACAGCGGCTGCCATCGATTGGCGCCCCCTCACCTTCCCTTCCCCGTCCCCGTCCTCGTCCCGAGCCTGGTGCTGAGGCCCTCAGCCGGAACCGAACCTCGGAAATGACGGCCCTCTGGGCGGGCGCTCTGCGAGTGACTCGAGACCCTACGGACGGGACCGAGCGCCGGCGTAGGCTCTGTTGCCTCTAGCGCACACCACGAGAAGGAACGAGTCTCTGGTGGCCCGGCCTTGCACTGGGCATCGGAGTTCCATGCAAGCACATGCACTTTCTGACATTGGGTGGAAATCTGGCGTTTGATGTACTTCCTTCAGGATAAAGAAATAAACGTTTTATTGACAAAAATAGCTTGCTATTCACTCATTGCTTCCTGGACATATCAATAAAGGTTATCATATGTAGGGGCAAAAGGATGTATACCTGTAAATCATAAAAAATTGTTTGAAATTATATTTTACAGACACGTCATTCCCTGCACTTACTGCAGCACTCTCAAAATTCAAGAGGCTCAGAAACGCTACTGCATCGTTACACGGTTCAGTTTCATCATTCAGCAATTCCGTATGTAGGCAAGCTTTCTGTTTAGAACCAATTTTCCTATCCACTTTCCCATTGGCCTTCAGCTTCTGGATCAATGACCTCCATCTCGATCAGGTTTTCGTCCAGTTTCCCTGATTCTCGAGCAACTGCTGAGATAGCCCCTTGTTTTGCTTCTGGACATAAATGTAACATCAATTTACTTCTCCCTATAGCACGTCACACACAGTTTTGAACTGTTTTTGACGTAAATAAATAAAAAAAGCTTAATTATCGACTGCCGCGTTGCACTAATTGTGTTCAAATATTAACACGTCCAACCGTTGTAGACTTTCCCCTATGCATGCATTCTTGTAGCTGTGTGATTAGTCATCCCTCTTGATTTTTTTACCAATGTGACACCAATATTTGAATCCTTATTTAGTCCATTGATACATTTATTATTTAGTAATTTTGTGAAACAGAGCACTTCTTTGTTTGAGCAGAGCCACTTATGGTCACTATAACTTTTACTATTCAATGATTTTACTCTCGATTTCGGGTTTTTGTTTCTTTCACTATATTAAGTTGAGTTTGCTCAAGTGCCAGTTTTTTATGTAATTTCGCGTTTGTCTTGCTAAGATGCAAGCTAATATGTTTGGATAGTACTTCCACCACATTCATGGTCTGTGAAATTGAACTATTTACAGCTATAGCAAAATCAAACTATCCACTGAATTCTTAACTCAACAGTCAGTATTAATTTATTTTATTTTATTTAATAGGTATTATTAAAACAATGAGCTTCCTTGATTTTATGTGGCTCGGCCGAGGCCTTTAAGCATTACAATACGGTACCTACATCCTTTCGCGTTCTAATCTTTCCAATGGTCTCCTCCAACGCATCAAAGCGCGCGGAAAAGAGAACCATAAGGTACGTCTCAGGAAAAAAATCCTGAAGGGGGAACAACCTGCCGTCAGAAGCCGAATACATGCTAACCTATCCGACGTTTATTTTAACTATTTATTTTCTGTCACGGGCGTCCCGCCGTCTCCTTCCAGTGTTTGGCTTCCTCAGCACCTGAAATCAAACAGCGTCACAGAAGATGGTCCGCACCAACACCTCTGCCCTTATTATTGCGAAACCGATAAAATTGGTAGACTTTAAAAAAAGTTGGCTAACACAAATAAATATGATGTACAAGAAACAAAACACGGCAATTGTTCACCTAATCGGCATATGGGCAGCAGTCGCCCGCACTCGACCACCGAAACCCACTTTGGCTTCGTAGAGGTTTGGCGCTCTGCGGCGCGACTCTGGTGGCGGATCCCAGAACTAGCGGCGCTCCCCAGGAAACATTCGCGTTAATGTCGGATAAGGCATGGCGACGCACACCTCGCGCGACATGGCCTCAAAGAACAACCGCAGTCTTGATCTGGGCTGTCCGGGTGACGCCGCGTCGATGGCTGATGTGCCGACGTTTCGACCGACATGTCGCGTTCCTCTTCAGGGCTGTACTGCGCAAGGATGTAGGGTTATGCTTTTGGTTTTTATATTGGGAAGGCCAATTTCCAGGTGAATAGGTCAATCCAGTGAAATAGGTCGAGGTGACAGCCAATCGGGTGGAGGGGGTGAACATGGACCGCCAATCATGACTCTGGCCGCGGAAGCCTACGACAACATCGCAGTCTGTTCACATGCTAGTGTAGAAAATAGGATTCCTTAGGGATTAGCGGAAAGGCTAACATAATTTGAATTAACAAAATTTTACATATTTAGATGGACATTATTTTTCTAAATATATTGTATATGTATAGTCTCTCGTGCTCTTGTGAGCCGCCAAAGAAGTTCGCGAGTCAGACTCACGACACAGGGGTGGGGCAGAGGAGTGCCCGAGGACAAAGTCTGGAGTTCGAATTCCGGTGAGGCATTTGTTTTCGACGCGTTTGCGGCATTGGGCATTCACACTTCCACTACACTCTACCCTTCCAAATCCCTTGTCACGATCGGTGACTGAGTGAACTAGCTCCTTACACTTAAGACAATGTGACAAACACCTCGATGAGGCCAGAGCTACAAGGTACATATTAATCGGACCGATGTGGGTCTAAAGATTTTGGAAAGCACTAAGTAGATTCTCGTTGGGAATTGCTCACAGGGAATTCACTGGGAATTATTCCTAGTTTTTGCTGAAGTTAAGGTTGAGTCTCTTAGATGCCATTTACAGAAAAAACAAAAATACAACCCTTACTCAAAACAAAATGGAACAAAGTAGCACGAGGCATTCTGTGCCATTCTGTAACACCACTAGTTACAAATTACTTTTCCTCTCTACTTTTCTAATTTACTTTTACTTTACGTATTACTTTTCTACAAATCAATTATAGAATTTTGGATGCACTAATAGAGTTTGCTTTCTTTCATTGTTACGTCTTAGCGGAATTATTTGAAAACTACGCTTCCTTTGTGGCGCTTATCTCATTGTTTTATTTACTCAGCTCTGTGTAAACGACGAAATGCTTTCTGTAAATTACATCGATTACATGTCATGCCTTCAATTACTGAAAAAGCATATATTGTGGTACGCAGATGTGTATATCTCTGCATCTTTCTCCTCAAATTGACTGAAGTGCAACCCATTGAGTCACAACATCAGTTACGATTATTACCTAAAGATCTCCATTAACTTTAGTCTGTAGTATCTCGTACGTTTATGAAAAGTTTTAAGATTCTTTTGAAAGCACTAGAGAAATAATTGAGTTAGTGTTTGCAAAATTCAGGTATACAGAAGTGGAAATCTACTACTTCTTTGTTGTCATTTATTTTCCAACCGTGTAAAAAGTCGCACCTACCGATCCATATCAAGAGACACTCGTACTGAAATAAAGAGAGAAGCACAAGTGCAAATGGCTTCCTCGGATCTAGCCAACGCGCTCTATCAAGGAGCCTCGCAGCTCTTCCGACTGGGGCGAGTGTTTGGCCTGGCGCCCGGCACCTTTTCGCCCGGCGAAGGCTTCCTCGTTCTCAAGCGCCACGTCACCTACACCGTCGGCGTTGTGTTCGCGCACGGCATCTCCACAGCAATCCGCTGCTCGGTGTTAACGAGAGCCCTTCACACTGTAGGCAACGTCAGCGCCTTGCTTCCCTTTCTCATCCAAATGGCGGTGCCTCCCTTTAAGACGGTCATATGCCTGGTGGCTATTCTTACTCGACAGAAGGAACCATTCCGCTATATCCTGCACGCTTTTGCTGCTGTGGACTCGCACCTCTTTGCAAACCCTAAAACAGAGTACAATCGAATGCGACTGGAAATAAACAAAGTGGTTTTCATTCTAATAACATGCATTATAATTATCGGGGCAATAAATCTTGTTTGCTGTTGCCTACAAAGCCAATTTCAGATGATTTTTTGCTGGTGGTTGTTTTCGACTTTTGATTTATTACTGACGTGCAGGTTTGTCGCTTTAGTTCTTCTATTGAGAATTAGGTTTCAAGAGCTAAATGACTCTTTAAACGACATGGAAATAGAATATAGCTCTGAAGACGAGGACAAAAATTACTTCCGTGCACTTCAGAAACAAACTAGAATGAAGAGAAGAACAACAAAAAACGTCCTTTTTGTTGATCCAGCGCATTTTAATTTCTATTCTGAAAGAAATTTCCAATTACAACGAAGCCACGTTATTGACGAGAAGAAATATAATATTCAAATTAAAATAAGAGAACTGCGCCGCGCCCATGTTTTTCTGTGGGAACTGTCAAAAATAATAAATGATGCATTCAGTGTTCAAAATTTGTGTGATATTTCTTCGACATTTTGGTACATCCTGTTAAACACATATGGCTTGATCGGTGTTAAGGGATTTGTTCAAGCACGTTATGGGGGAAATGTCTCTTTCATCATTATCGTAACGACTGGCATTGAGTTTGCCACAGCATTATTTTTTCACATCCTTCGAATAATACTGTTGTGTTGGTCTTGTGCCAGAACAGTATCAGAGTCACGAAAAGCACAGTCTCTCTTGTCACGACTGCAGTTGATCGAACGTTTTTCCTCGGGCGTTGTTACAGAGTTGGAGAAGTTTCAGCTGCAGCTCAAACGATTGAAAGTTTCTTTCACGGCTTGTAATCTCTTTGCCATCGACATGTCTACGCTGTTTGGCATAATATCAACACTTATTACATATGTAATATTACTCTCTCAATTCGGAAATTTAGCTCAAATTGCCGAGAGAACGTAAAAGAACCCTTTTCAAGTAGAAATACTCAACCCTTGGTGAAGCACGTTAATCGTCTCGTTTGTCTTTGAAGAAAGGTATTGGACAATAATTTTATGAAAGAGAGGTTGGTGGTGTAAACTGTTTATGATTTTATATTGGATGACAAATTTTGTCTTGTGGCGTTAATATTCCTTACAGTAATTAACTTATAGAATTAGGCATCCTAAGGTTCCTAAGAGATTTTCTCAAGGTTTTCAAGATGTTAATGTTAAGGATGGTAAACATAAATTAGAGATTTAGAAAATGTTCAATCTATTTAATAAAATTTAAGTGTCTCTGATTTCAAAACGAGTGCATTTTCATTATTTCATATCCTTATATGGGTGATGTAAAAACCAATTCAATCAGATTTTTTCTATTTTTGTCCGTTTATTTTTTAGGTAATCTTTGGAATCGCTTAACCGATTTTCATGCTGTTTTAGCTGAAGAGAGTTTTGTCTGGTATAACCTATGACACGTTGTGATTATTATTATTATTATTATTATTATTATTATTATTATTATTATTATTAATAATAATAATAATAATAATAATAATAATAATAATAATAATAATAATAATAATACATAAAATAGTTTTTGTCTCTATGAAATTTAGTAAAAAAATACTCCTAAATTACTTCTACGTCCTTTCCTCTTACAACAGTATTTAAGCGTGTACTCTTTCCATTTTTCGTAAATATCTCGAAATCAGTACTCAAATTCAACAAAGTGAATCATGCATTTCTGAAACGTCATACATTTTCGTACTAAATTAATTTGGTTTAATTCCAGTAGCGCAGTTAGGTTCTCAGTAATTGAAGGTCAAAATGGTTACTAAACATTTTTTGGGTGTATGCAACAATGCATATGTTTACAACTACCCATGGCAACATGATTTCTGATCAATAAATATGGGATCTGTTCCGTTAGACGTATACCAGTTCACTAGCCGGTTCCCTTGATTCAGCTAGCTTGATTTTTACAAAAGGTTCACTAAAACTAAATATTCGCCCATGTAGGGTACTTCAGCTAGAATTGTATAAAATTAATGACATTATTTGCTTAAAATGTTGAAAATTAAGAGATTACGATCAATGAATATTTTGGGACTCGTGAACGAATGTGTAGTGATTTTCTCAAAGTTTTACGAAGGTTTTAATCTGATAGAGAAACTATACCTGTAATTGAAGAGAAAAACAGTTTTTGATAATATGTGTATGAATCCCAGGAATGTACGTTGATCTCTTTACGCAATTTGAGTTGAACATTTTATACAATATCTTGATGCAAGCATTTAGGTAGTAGCAGTATAATTAATCCAAATTTCTGCTTTTTAGGCCACGTTTAAAAACTTCAGTCTCAGCGAATCTCAAGCAAAGAATTTCTTAAAAAATCCATCCATTCCATTTCTGACAGAGTTTTTCATCCCCCATTGATGTTAATTTGTTGTAGCAGGCAAAGTAATCACTAAGAGGCCACTTATCGAAACGATTAAGATTATTTTTTCAGCGTCGATAAAAAATTAGGCCTACTCGTTTTCTTTAAGTTGTCACATACTGCATCAAAGTATACATTTCTTGCAGTATAATTCATTTTCTTTATAGTTGCAAGTTATGAAATATCTTTTAAAAGCGTCACATTCTTGTGGAAACGATATGTTCGGGTTGCGAAACACATTACCAGTATGTGTCTTGGGTTGGCCGAAGACTCGACAGGTCTGGTAAGTATGCAAAACATTGTGTCTATCGAAGCAGAGCAGATAACGTTCACGGAAATTTCATCCACAGACGTTTTACCTGTGACAAATGTGTAGTTATTTCAAACAACATAGGAATGAAAATGGTTGGGAAGTGCCATCTGTAAAGGTAAGAAAACTGTTGAGAGGATGCGTATTTAAACTGCGCTTTACCACGAGGAGTGGGGAGGCACAGACGTCCAGCGATAGTTGTTTGCTTTTTATAGGTTTAAACTTTTAGGAGGTTGAAAATTACAGATGTTATTCATGATGCGGTTTTGTTTAAAATATTTGTTGCATCTTTTACGCGACACGTCTCTTTAGACCTTTTGGGGGCATTGAGCGTATGTGCATTAGAGTTAAGTTTTTGCCTTTCGTCTCGTAACGCTGCAGTCAAGTCGACGCTTTTATTCCTCCGGCCAAGAGCGTTAGTAATCGCGGTCCCCAGACGGTCACCCTTCCGGCAATTCGTGGTGTGTCGAATTGCTTACTTTCCGTGACTTCATGGGACTTAGAGTTTGAGTTATTGCAGTGCCTTTGCCTCTTAGTGAAAAAATTAGGACTATTCACTCGAAAGCTGAAAGTTCAGTATACATTTTGAAAATATTTAACAATATAAATATTTAACAATATTAAACAATATTACAATATAAATCCAAAATATTTAACAATATAATTTTGTTCATTATATTAATATGTTAAGAAGACGCATCGCCTTTTATTTCCAATAAGAATGTAATATGTTTTGAAGTTAATGTTTAAAACAACTATTACGGAGAATATATTTTTCTCTTGAATAGTAGAACTAAATTAATAATGTTTTTAAGTGAGTAATCATATTATCAAATGATTCAATTTATTAATTCTGTAAAAGTGTCTAATAAAACTTGAATAGAATCAATATTCAAGGTGCGGGTTCCGGGGTCCCTCTTGACAATGCACGGGACCATCTATTGGTGCCGCGAGGGTTAATCTCTTCTCTTGCATTACCCTAAATGGAAGTCTGAAATTCTCAAACCTGTACTTCTTTACTGTCATTATCAGCTTGGAGGTTTAAGGGACTCGTTTGCGGCCCACCTTTGAGGATTCCTCTCTTCAAGACGCCAGGTGATGCGTTTTTCACCTCACCCGTCTCACGACTGAAGGGAACTAGTGGCCAGGAGGTCGGGGGATCGCTCTCGAGAAGGGACCTAAAATGTACTGGATGTTTTCGCATCGGTGCGTTTGTGGCGCCTGTTGGAATCGAATTTCTTAGATGCACCACACTGATCAACCTTTCCCTCATCTGCTCCAGACGAATGCCATCCAATGCTCCTCCCCTCCCTGTCATCTCCCCATCCGAATAGTGTGTGTCAACTGCTAAGGTCATTAGTCCCTATGTGTAGTGCATGTGTCTTCCTCGGTTGGATGAGGAGATCCGGTGCAAACTCACACGTCGGATAGCCAGGTTATCGCCAACCACTTGATCTACCACCAGCGAGGCAGCGCTCCAGCGGGGACGAGTTATATATGCTCCAAGCATGTGAGGAAGTGTAGCGCATGTTAGTGTGAGTATAAGTAAGGGGTGAGGATAGGGCAAAGAAGAGTAAGGAAAGATCGTGTGCGGTCCGTGGCCCGTTTGTTAGGGTACTGCTCCGGTGTTCGCTAGGTGTTCATCGAAGGAAAACGACCGATCAGAGCTGCCGGTCGCTAAAATTGTCCTCCAAATTGCAGTTGATTTCCACCTAGCTGTCCAGCTGGTGTCGCAAATCCTGGCCCCGTCGAGACTCAGAGGCGCCACAGTGACATCATTTGAGGCCCAGAGCACGTAAGCTCGCGAATAACCTTTGTAAATAGAAAGAAAAAAGCAAGTAATGAGTTGGTAGGATAAACAAATTATTCCACATCTCCAACCAGCGGGAATCGCTCGAACGTCTCCCTGCCCCGCCCACGCCCACGCCCGGCCGCTCGTGAGGCCAGCTCCCTCGCACTTGCGCCGGTTCCGCTGCGAATTCTACTGCGCCGCTGTGGCAGGTTACCATCGCATCGCTCTCGTCGGGTGAGTGCTATCGACACCAACCAAAAGAGAGTAATTGCGAGACAAACTGTAGCAATTAGTCCAAAGTAATCAACACATGAAATAGGTACGGCTTCGAAGCAGATTTCGGTCTTAAGCCGGGTGAAATGCACATTAGCCAATATGAGGAGGGTAGGATAGGTGACGTGGAATGACGTGATACATGGAATGTATTATGTGATACACGGAATGAGCCCCCTGATGCGAGGTTTCTAAGGCTAGCACGGGACAAGGGGCGTCGACATCCCGGCCTCTGCCCTCTGAGATTTACAGACAACACTCACACTGAGCGCCTCAAAGTTTTCACCATAAATTGATGACTAAATTCGTCTTGAGAACACACAAGAGCCACTCCGACATTCGGACACTTGCCTTACTTCAGCCACAGCTCTGTGGCTAATGTCAACATTAGTCGGATGATGACCAAAACGATTCGTTCCTCGTGTCGTGATTCATAGAGATATATCCAAACCGTCTAGCTCATGTGCTAATTAGCTAATTTTAGTACAACACATGCCTAAATCATAATGTAAGCATATATATATATAATATATCAGCAGTATAGCTCTGAAGAAGGCCACAGCAAGATGGCCGAAACGTCAGCACAATTGAACGAGATGCGGCTCATCCCGGATAGCCAAGAGTGCATTGACTCCGGCCGCGGAAGCCTACGAACCCCTTCATTATACGTTGAAAAAACAGCGCAGGTATGATTTTCTGCACACTCTGAATTTTCGAAAATTGCAAAAAATTAATATCACAAATGTACAATATTGCTGATAGACTTTTTGTATAAAATTTGTTCTAAAAAAGCAGTTATTTAAATAAATTCTTATTACAAGACCCTGCCAACGAAAATGTGGATAAATCCATATGCTAAATTTAGAAACAATCCTGTAACACATGTTATAGCCAGAATGTATGCTTTGTGAATCCTTAAAAACGAAATCTCGTTTAACGGCGAAACGTCTGTTCGTCTTTCTGTGAACAACGCTAGCGACTAAACCGTTCAGCCAATTTTCTCCAATATTGATATACCCCCATCGATCTGGCTGATGTGGTTACTTTTAAATTCTTAAATCGATATTTTAATTTTGGAGCTAACTTAGTGAAACTGATGTTGTCTATTTGGTGACCGTTAGCTGAAGAATAATGTGAATGTAAAAACCATCTGTTTTGTAAGCTCTCATGTGTCTGGTAAGTTCCTTCCTGTCATAACTTCTCTATTTTTATATTGTATCGTAAATACTTTTAAATTCAGTACTAAATAATTTCAACATTAAATTTCACATCTTGATGATGGGGACAACAATCCCCGAAACCGTTGCACGATTATGGTATAAATTAATGTTACAAGAATGTCTCAGTCAAAAAATAAGGACCCTAACCATACCTCACACCAGAAGAACTCACTTAAGAACCTTAAACTATAATTAATTAAGGTAGACTAAAGTGTGGAAATAAAAAACATTTATTTTATGATATGACAAAAGGACTCATTTGGATAACAAATTATTTTACATTTTTCTTCGATTTTCACTAATTAGTCATTATTTACCTTTTTCGTCATTTTTAAAGCATTGTTTCGTATTTCGTTGACTTTAATATCATTTTAATGGCACTTGCTTCAAATAATACTTATGAGATGCAACAAATGTTCTTCTTAGATTTTCTGAGTAGCCTATTCGATTTCTGCGCTCAGAAATTGTAATGTCAGCCGTCATCCGTTGCGTTGTAATCTACGATTGTGAGGCCTATTAGCACCATTGTCAATGCGACAGATTTCACGATAAATAAAGCCAGAGGTTTACAGGTCCAGTCCAAACTAAAAGTTTGCAGGCTGAGTCCATGTGAACGAAAGGAAACAAGTCTCGATTACATCAGAAAGATATCCATCAGCTTGACTTGTTCATCTGAACGTATTTTATCGTAATTTTCTTTGCTCTTAGGGCACTTTAAAACTTTTTAAGAGGATTTTATTGATCATTTTTGATGGTGTTTTAGGTCATCATCCGCCAGTAGTTATGAGTTATATACGAGATCACTTAGATGAGTTAATCTGGATTCAAATTAAGGTATTGTAATTTTACGTAACCGTTATTCTGCGAGAAAGTGTGTGAGATTACGCACCGTTAGATAATAATTGTTTCTCTGTTATTAAAATTCTAGAATATTCCAATCCAAGAACTATACTTCACAAGACCCAGTAAAGAAAGTTGACATAGGTAGCTTTACGTTATTCATTTTATGAATGCGTACATATGGGTATGTATTTTGCTGTTTTCAACATTGGAAATTAATAACATATTTCTGAGCAAATTTTCACAAATTATGTACTTCATCTCTGAGCAATTTATGCAATGCAATTGTTATGAAGGGTGGATATAATCGAAATAGAATTACATACAATATAGGCAAACAATTGAAAAAGACGCTGTTTCATCTCGTAATTTCTAAAATACCCATTATTATTATTATTATTAAATACTGGATATAAACTATTCATACTCGTTTGGAAAGATGACTTTACATTTCGTCATAAACTCTGATCAGAAAGCGACTTGTGTACATATTTTATGTACTCGCATATTTAGTGTCATGTCGAGCGACATCAGTATTTAACAAACGATTCGTGAGTCAGCAGAATTCATTGTACCTCTTTAATACCGAGTATAAACTGGACGTACACATTTTCAAAGCAACAGGCTAATCAAACACGCTTCTCGTAAATTATTATCGTAGAAGTTTCTATCATAATCATATTGTTGTGATCGTGTGCCCGCTTTAGTGCTGGACGCGATATCTCTTGGATACCAGCTGTACTCCGTGGGTTACTTTATCTTTACCATAAAATCATACAATATACTGTTTCATTTTGTTTGAATTCCGTAATAAACTATTCCTGTTAGCGTTGATCGTTAATTTTGTATTAGAAAATGAATGGCTTTCATTGGTTATAAGAAGACGATTGACTCAGTACTACACAGCTGGCTACTTCAGGTTCTCAAAATATACAAAATAGTCGCACAAATCGTCAACTTTCTATCTCATGTTAAGTCAATGTGCTGCACAAGAATGACTCTGAGCACTTCAAAGAAACTATTGGAATGGATGAGAATGCTATTCAGCGAGGTATATTCTCAGGTGACGCGCTGGGCGCGCTGTGCCTGTACGCTTGGCCTGTTGGTAATGAGCCACCAGGATTAAGAAGTAAGAAATAAATCATTGGCTATCAAAGTAGTATGCACCGGAAGCGCTTCGTTTGAATGAGTGTGGACTTTTTCAAGTGATGTTGAAGACTTAGTAGGACATAAATTGCCAGTTAATCATACTACGTAACCGTTCCTAATAATGCGAGAAATGATGTGTTGTAGCACCACTAGTTTAGCTGTTACAAACATTTTTTTAAGAAATACTTTTAGCGCTATCGCTTTAAATTCAACCAATGTTGTTTCTGACCCGTATACTGCTGAGCGAAGATTATTAACTTTCTTGATCACTGCACCAAGGATCAAGTGTCCTCTCGAACACTGCTGTTACCCCTTTTGTGATCCACTGTAGAAAACCTGGAGAACTAAGTTTAATACTCATTTGACTAACGCGACTGTGCAACCGGGTTTATTTTAGATGTTAAACGAATGAAACTGTAACAGTGGTGCACCTGAGGGGAGGAACCTAAAGGGATATCCTCCCCCTAGGAACCAGTGACACACTCCCAAATATACTTTTTATTAACTTTACATACTAACAAAAGTCTTTCAATATCTCGACTGACAACTCAATTAACTATAATTTAACATTAATAACGAATAACTACAATTAATTTCATGAAAGGTAATTTTTTAATAAATCAAAATTATTTATGAGAAAACAAGCCAGCTGGACAATATACTTATAGCTCTCCGTAGAAAAGTGCTTGTTGTGCTAGTGCATAAATGCACAACGTTATTGATGACGGATAACCTTATGTGTGAAGGAATTGGCGATTTTTTAATTTTGGTATCAATGATTCAGAATTTGCTTTTGAATTAGCTGGTCTTAAAATAGAAATAAAAAACCTCCGATACGACTATTATAATTTATTGATGATAAAATATCTCGTATGTGCTAAGATCCACATGCGGTAAGAGCCACATTTCGTGAGGTGCTTTCAAAAAATGTTACAATAAATGAATACTTAATACCACTACATTAAAAGTTAAGAATGCCTAAACTTTGCGAGCTGTACATTACGAACATCAAAAAGTGTTTTTCCTTCCTCCTGTAAATGTTTTTTTCACATAGGAGATTGTGTACAATCAACAACGATAAGCATTCTGTTACAAACCTCTCTGTATTACTCTATTTGTAGTCAACATTTAATAGCCTAATACATAAAGAGATACAAACTGGAATTTTGAGTGTAGTGTAGATAGTAATAAGTAAATTGTTTCCAAAATGTGGCTTGTGACTGTATAATTCCGAGCCATTCATACAAGAAAGATTATACATTTGGTAAAAACTCCCCCTTTCAGAGTATCCCGCAGAGCTGTGGATCACTGTTTGAATGGATCCGAGCAGCGCTCCACAACTTTGGGAATAGTGCCCAGAATATTTTTATGAAACTAAAGGCGGCCTATATTCCACTGGCGTTTTTCGTGCAGAAGGTTCTCCCAAAGGGGTCCTTGGTTGAAGAAATTGAAATTCACGGCGGAGAAAACTGGAATGACAAAATCTTGAAAGCTGTTGAGTTATGTCAATTACGCAAACTTGACTTATCGGGCAATGTAATTCCATCTCTTAGCGATGGTATGTATGCCACATATTTTTCTGTTTTATTTTAAGACCTAAGTTATACAACAATTGTTTAATTAGTAAGTGCATGCGACACTGCGCTTGCAATGTTTTCACAATTAGTGGTCACGCTTGTGTATATTTCCGCCTTAGCGACCACCATTAGCTCGCAGAACATCGACGCTACTTCAAGGCCAACGTTTATCGAACAACAAGAACAAAAAAGTTGCTTTTTCATCATCCGTTTATCGCAATGGCGTATGCTTGGCAATCGAAGGTACAGGTTTCAATAGGAAACTTCTGATCCTTTGTTAACTACCGGGAAGAACCTACTGGGAATGACTACTCTTTTGACTTGAAAAGCGTAGCAAGAAAATAAGTATCTGCTGGATAGTCACCAAAACGATGCCGATACAATTACAAATTTCGAACAGCAGGCAACAATGAGATCGCATGCGACTACTGATTATCTTCTCCATCATTTAACTTTGTTGCCTTTGTTTGCCTTATTCCTCGTAACTGAAACAACGTCAAGAACAAGTGTTGCGGCCCCCGCGCCGAGTCTCCCCGCCGGGGGCGGCGGTGCCGGCGCGCGCCCTGCCGGGAGCTACAACGTGTCCGGGGGCCCTCCGACGTGTGCCAACGTGTGGCCGTGGCTCAAGAGGACCCCGGGCGGATTCTGCAAGATCCTGTGGCCCGATGGCGCCCCCCTGCCGCAGGTCCACTGCGAGGGGGTGGGGGCTTACAACCCCGTCGCCAGCAGCTTCGCCTCGCTCATCTACGACAGGTGAGCCATTCCGAATTTGGATTTGAAGCTTTGGACATACGAAGAGAGAATGGGTTCATACTACAACAATTTGAAAATAGCGTTTCACTGGAGAAAATGTCAAATAATTGTATACGCCAGTTGGTGTTGAAATAATTGAATACACCAGTTGTAAAAATTCACATTATTTCTATCGAAATAGGTCCGCACAATTAATGAATTTACAGTAGAGGGAGTACGTTAAAGTCTAATAAATAAACCGGCTCAGAGCATCAACTGATACCACTGCAATCCCTCTGATCGGGAGGCCCAAGGTTCGAGTCCAGGCTGTGGAAAGATTTTCGGCACCAGTTAGTCAGAATTTAGTCGCTGACTAGAGGAGAAATCTAGCGGCCAGGTACTCTGATCGGTAATTTTTCGTGTTTTCTCCAGGCGAATGCCGGAGCAGTACCCTAACAAACGGGCCACGTACCGCGCGCGATCGTTCCTTCCCATTCCTCGACCTACCCTACCACTTACCTACACACACACACTTACATGCGCTACACTACCACTCGGGAGCGTGGAGCTTTTTCCGGCTGGGAGATACCTGGTTGGGGAGCGCCCGCTTGACGGCGGTGGGTCTGCGCCGGATCCAGCGGGGAAGACCGCCGCCACCTCCTACGGGAACATTGACCTCAGTAGCTGACGTGCCGGGAATCACTAACAATCAAATAAGAAAATTAATTAATACTAACCAAAATGTTACTTTGTTTTTACATTCGCGTACGTACTAATGTAAGAAGAGAAAGTATTGTTATCGTGCGCTGAAAAATGGCGAATTTTCGATACAAAATCTCTTACTGCCGGGCGCTGGTAAGGAAAAAGTGTAAAAAAATCAGTCGCTAAGTATATGAAAGAAAATCCTCCAACACGTGGTTTAACCAGAACCCATGTCTTGTGCGTCTTTGATACCGAAAAATCGATTAACGGCAAAACGCCTGTCTGGCCGTTCGTTCGTCCTTCTGTGCACAACGCTAGTGCATAAAATATTCAGCTGATTTTCTCCAAAATTGATTTTGCCCAATCGTTCGAGTTGATGTCACGGACCCTGAAATTTGAAATCGAAATTTTTATTTTAAGGTGTACTTTACATAAAGCAATTTTCATGGAGGCAATTCCGAAATTTTCAAACAAAATGGCTCCAAATTTTTTGATAAAATTTGGTTGTTGAATAGTGCATAGAACGTTTATGAGAATGGTGCAGGTCTCAGTTTCGTTGTTGTCCCATATTTTACGAAAATTAGAAACCAAATTAAAACTTCAAAATTGAGGTTTTGTCACAGTTATGTGTCACAGACAAAGTCAGTTGTACAAAATTAGTTCTTCGAAAAAGGTCATGTGCAATTTTTTGAAAAAACGTTGTTTTGCGTGTTTTACGATTGAAATTTACAAAAAAAAATAAAAAATCGCTCCAAACTTGTTCTTTACATTTTTTGACATATGTAATAAGAAACTGTAAGAAATATGGCGCTAATCTCATTTTCGGGCACAAAAGCAATAGTGTTCATCGTAAATGAAATGTGGATATAAGAAGTAGGTGATGAAATGAAACGCTATCTGAGCTGTTCTCTAACGACGAAAGCATCTCACGAATGTTCGTAATTATTTTGATGTCAATTGCGTATATTCTAATTACTGTATTGATATTGTTAGCCAAGCGAATGCACATAGTGTTGACAACGCTGCGCTGGCAGTAGTGTGTTGCTGACGTCTTGGTTGAATTGGACGTTTTGAAATAATGGCTGTGGAGTTGTGTATTATTTACAACATTTACTTCATAAGTTATTCGGCATGCCATCAAATTGAATATTCTATTTTCTAATTAAAGATCTATACTTTAATAAATAAAAATCGTCTAATAATTTCTTTGCAAAGATATTTTTGACTAAGATGTTTTTCGTAGCGCATAGTTTGTGAAATTAAGGTCTTCCTCGTAGCTCGCGCTGCCGAAGTTAAGACCCGTCAACCAGCAGTAATCTTCTGATCTTCTTTCTTGAGGTTGAAGTAATATTTGGGTTAGTGTTCTAAATCTGATCTAAGTCTTAACAATTTACACTGTCAGCATAAAATAGTTATTCGCGAATGCCTCAGGTGGACATCCCTACTCGTCTGCTTTCGTTCAGAACAACTAAACGTTCTATCTGCCAATCTATTCAAATGATTACCTAGCTTCACATATGTTCGCGTCGGTGACTAGCTATATTCCGATGTGCTCGCAACCACAAGTACATGTTTTCGCACAAACCCATGGATCTGATGCAACATGTCACTTTCACTTGCGTTTGTTCACCAAATTTTTGTTAGCAACTTTGTTATTGGCTGTGACTCATTTCGCGATAGTCAATTTTTTGACTCGACACTAATGTCTTTACTCAAATCTGTCACCATTGGCTGTCCATATCTCTTATATTTCGCTTATTTTTCGTTAGGTGACGCTTTCACAATAAAAATTCATAACCTAGAATTGTTCACGTCCCAAATCACAGCTATGTTTATTTTGTTCTAGGAATATCTAATGTTCTATACTTATTGTTTATTTCTGTCTCGAACATTTATACGTCCTACTATTTACATCACAATAATCACAACTAATATTTCAATGTCCTATGTGGCTATTATACGCGCACGTTATCTTGAGCCCCGGAATACCTATCCCCCCTCCTTTGCCAACATTAGTTGAATTAAGAATAAATGATAGCAATGAACGTTTTAGACAAAATCATTTAACCAGAATGTTCACTCCCGTGTAATAGAAACTATTTTGCTTCGAAAAAGAAACAACAAATTAGATGTAAAATTCCTTTCGTCAAAATAACCCAACTCGCAACTAGCGAAGCGAGGGCTGAAGAAAACGCGTGGATAATACCCAATATCGTCTTTATAAGTGTAGCATACTACGTTTTTCCTTTCTTTTTTCCCGGGTACAAATACTTCGAAATAAGTCACTATTCCATATTATTCTAATCAATAATTCACTTGAGATATCTGAGTATGTCTCATTATCCTGTTCTTATATACAGTAAATTATGTCCTCAAACACGTTGTGTAGTCAGAATTCACGTTTTGTGAGGACTTGACACCAAAAAATTCATTGACGGCAAAACTTCTTTCCAACCGCCCGTCCGTCTGTGGTAAACACTAAGCCGTTCAGAAGATTTTCTCCAAAAAATTGATATTCACCGTTCGACGTCAAAAAAACTCGAGCTTCGGCTAATTTTAAATGGATGTTTCGATGATGGGAACTTTACATGAAGCCACAACAATATTTCTAAAATATTTTCAATAATGACGCCTTTCATTTTTATTAAACCTTGTTCTCGGTTAGCCTAGAAAACGCTTAACAATGAAGCAGGTGTCATTTTCCTAGAAATATCTGAATTTTCGAAAATTGCACAAGTTCAGTTTCTTTACATCTTGTTTCAATTACAATATAGAAGATATATTTTTTTCTTAAACGAAACCTGATCGTTCAAAGACAAATCTTGTTATAAGGTAATAAATAAAATATTTACAATTTTTTCACAAAGTGAGTAGTTTTCTACGTTATTTCGAACATGAACTACCGACAATTTTTAAACAATAATTTTCTCAAAAAGGTTTCAAATTTGTTCTTTAACTTTTTTTCGACGAATGAGCAAAAGACAATTAAATAATGGCGCCGATCTCATTTTTGTAGAACCTTCTTAATTTTCGGATGTCTAAGTTAGAAGTAATTTGAGAAAGCATGTGCTGTAGTAGCTCCAGTAGTAGCAGTTTGCAATCTTCACTCCATCACGCGATGCCATTCCCTCTCGACTTACGAATCGCACTCGGGCGCTGCTCCGCTCTGCCTTTTCCATTGCTGCTGCTCACTTACGCACATGCATGCATAAAAGCATTCGTGCGTGCACATACAAATACTCGCATTTTGCGATCCTTTCTCTCTTCTTTAAATGTACGTAGAAAAATTTTGTGATTTTTTGAGAAAATCGTTTGTTTAAGAATTTGTGGAAAATTGTCATGCTTTAACTCAATAATTCGCCAAAGTTTGCAATTATAAAAAGGTTGTGGATAACATAAACAGAAAGTTTTTGAATGCGCACATAGGCGTCAGCAATTCAATATTTAATTATTCTTTATATATTTCTAAATAATCGACGTCGAAATTAACCCGCTTCGATCTTTCGGCTTTATTTTTCTCAGGAT